ATGTGCTCTAAATAGAATACCATTTAGAGCCATAAGAGTTTGTAAGAGCTCATACTTTAATGTTCTTTTACCAAGCTAATACCATCCAGGTACATGATCTTACCTGTGGTCAAAGGCAAGACAAGTGTCAGTCTGCTGAAATACAATATACCCCTTGAAAAGCGCAAGCACTGGGTATGAAAACTGCCGCTCAGAACATGCTTGCAATTCAACTGTAAAAGCATTTAAACGGAAAGTTTTGGTCCCCTCCCCTGACCGATCAGCTCCGGAACCCCTTTTGTTCCCCTTCCTCAGCGGACTCTCCCTTTGTCTTCCCCATTTCTCTCACTGTTTACCTGTTGCGCTTAAACAAATGCCGCCTTAATCAATTCGTAAAAATAACTACTCAAACTCCAAGTGATAACAAACAAAGGCGAGACAAACGCATGGATGGTTGGAAAGAAAGAAAGTCCCAGGGATCAGGTTCCCCACTTCGAACCCTTTGCCCACCCCCTTATCACCACTATTTTTACCAGTTTATGGCCAAGACGCGTCTGATACCGCGATGCTTCATGTTTATTTTCTCACAGAGGCGGCAAAACAAATAAATTCCGTTTGCCGTTGGAGAATCGAATTTTGAAAACCTAATCAAATCGAACAGCCTCCCTGCATTTGGGTTCCGTAGCCCCTTTCTCGTTTCGATTGAGTGGGTATCTTGGTTATGGGCTTGAAGAGTTATGAAAAGGGCATGCTGTAGTTCCAAGAGTTGGTACTGGTAGTAATGCCAGTAAGGTAATGAGCATATGTTTTAAAGATTATATAGAAGTGTTATAAAGCTGTATATAAATAGCTGTATGTAGGGTATGCAATAGTCGGCTTCACGAGTGGGTCCCATCTGACATCCAACTTTTTTTTTATTGACGACCACCAGGCGACTGATGGGCCCGAAGATCCCCCATCCGCACTCGTAATTAAATATCCAAATTGAGTGTAAGCAAATGCCGCCGACTTCTAGCTATGCAGGGGTTGTATCTGCATCTGGTTCGGGATCGGTTCGGGATCGAGATCTTTATGTGGAGCTGTATCTGTTTGTGGCTGGAAATAGCAACGCATCCAAGTGAGGCATTTTGTGCAACACACGCCAAAATGGCAAGAAGTCAAAGGGGGTGGCGTTCTGCGACAGGGGTTGCAGTTACTGCATTTGCATGGGCTGTCTTTGTGCACTTTCCGACTCCCCTCCTCCCCCTCCTCCGCACTCCAGCCACTCCCCCACTTACTGGTCTTTCCTATTTCTGTCTTTGTTGCTGCTGCTTATGCAAACGCATGGGGCATGTCTCCCGCAACTGCAGTGACTCCAACTCCTGCACTGCAACTCGTGATCCAGTTGTTTCCAATTGGGCCATTCAACGATCTTCGCCTACATTTTCAGTTCATATTTGAACAAATATTAGCTACCAGTAAAAAATTCAATAACAAGATAATAATTAAACAATAAACTCATTAATCTGTAATTTAATTCAATTATGCGTGCTCAGTGTATGCTATCTTTAAGATAGCTTCAAGGAGAGTCTACTACTGTTAAGTACCTATAGAAAAAACCTTCTACAGTTTCAGATTGCTGTTGAGACTTTTGAGTATGTATCCAGATCCTCAGATTGTTTTTTTCAGTGCACGCCACGATCCAGCTTTGGCTCCATCTGGCTGCATTTAGTTTTTCTCCAACGGGCATAGACAATGAAAAACATTTTCCTGTCGCTGTCTCTGTTTTCGAGTCCCTTGTTGCTGTCGTTGTTGTTGTTGTTGCTGTTGCTGTTGTTGTTGCTGCTGTTGTTGCTGTTGATGTTCCTGTGCCTGCCTCGCCAGCCCCCCTCCCCCCTGTCCTTGCTCGCCCATCCAACATAAAAATCCCTGTGATGTCGATGACTTCTTTATTTTGCGTGCTCTTTTTTGTTATTTGCTCTATGCGTTGTCGTTGTTTTGTTTTTTGGTTCTTCTCTCTTCTGCTCTCTCCGCCACTTACGTACCTATGTAAATGTGCATTATCCACTCTCTCCGCCTTGCGGTTGTTGTTGTTGCCGCTGCTGTTGCTGTTGCTGTTGCGTAGTCGCATGTGAATGCTCTGTAATCTCGCAATGTCGTTGAACCTTCTCCGTACTTTTTTATTGTGCCGTACTTTCGACTTTATTGTCATTATTTTGTTATATTTTCTCTGCTCATCGTGCGCTGTGTTTGCTATTGCAGATTTTCCGCTCTCTCGCCTGTTTTGCTCTCTTTTCGATTACAGCCCGCGACAACAAAAACACAACTACTACCGATGACAGTGATAACAGCAGCGGCAACAGCAACAACAACTGCCAAGGACGGCGGCGAAAAAGGGGCGCAAATCGTAAAGCATACTTGCTATCGTGTGATCGTAAATCATGAGAAATTCGTGAATAAAATATACAGTTTTACAAACTTTTCAATATGCTTACATATAAAATAGGGGATTGGTAAGTAAGCCCCTTAAAACTATGACTTCCCAGGGCCCCTGGAAAGTGCACACGTGCAATTCTGCCGCTGCCTCGGGGCAATTATTTCCAATTTAGCAAAACAACACAAGAGGAGCAGCATGCAGCATGGAGCATGGAACTGGGAGCTGGAGCATAGGCATCCAAAGCTATAGATTGGCTCCCGTCCGAGTTCGGGGCTTGGCTCTTTGGCTCTGGACCTGCTCCTATTGTCTTTACATCGGTTCATTGGCCGATGCGCAGATGCAGCAGCTCTAGCATCATACTATAAAAACACACCGAGAAAAAAAGCGCAACTAAATGGATCGTAAATACTGGAAGATCACTACAAAACCATCACTGCCAGCTTTGATTTAAGTCTAGTTCAGATACAATTCTCCACTTCCGCCTGGTTGAAGGCACATTTATGAAGATATTAGTACGTAATATTAATATTAACATATAATGTTATAATATTATATGCCTGTATATTATAGGTGCAGTAACCATCTCTCTCTATACCATAAATTATAATTTCAATTTCCTGTAATACACCACGCATGCACTTTTCCATGCTGAATTTTAGGATCCTAAAACCTAACAAGATCTTTTATTATGTGGTGTGGTTAATTCATTTAGCTTTTAGTTTTACAGCCAGTAAATCAATTTGGATTTGTTCCGGTGCAGCCCCATCCCAAAAGCGATCCCCATCACCAGCTCGGTCATCACGGGAACTGGCAACTTGCAACTGGGAACTGGGAACTGGGAACTGGAGACTGAAGCTGGGGTCAGGCCTGCTCCATGGACCATGCAATTACTCCATGTACTTGGGGACTGTAATAACACGGACGCGAACTGTACGTAAACTGGTTGCAGGATGCTGCTCCCAGTGGTGTTGCTGTTGCTGTTGCTGTTGCAGCTTTGGAGACTGGCAGAGACCTGGCGACTTGGCGAGTTGGCGACTTGGGGACCTGGAGCAGCCGGGCAGCGACTTTCTAGCCGGTGTTATCTGTCTATATCTATCTAGGAAAACCAGTTATTGGGTGCCCAGGCTTGTTGCACGCCCATTTCGAGCCGAGAGTTGCTGCCGCAGCTCCTCGCCGGTTGTTAAAGTTAATGTGGCTGGCTGGCTGCGCCATGGTGGAGCAGGACTAGACTGCTGCTCTGCTGCTTTGCTGCTTTGCTGTGTGCAACAGCTAGCTGCCACTCGCAACTTGCCACTTGCAACTGGATTTGCCGAAGGCTGTTGACTCCGTTGTTTTTCTATTGCCAGTTGCTCCCGAGGCTCACGACTTCCTTCTTGGGCTTCTTCTGGCTGGCTGGGATATTGGAAAGCAACTCGTACAGCTGCAAGTTCGTTGACTTCAAGTGGAGCTATTCTAATGCCCGGCAAACGTGTTTGGCAACTCGCAATCCAATTGGGTGTGGGGAAAAATGGAAAATGGCAGTGGGAGTGGGAGCAGTGCTCCAACTACTCCTACTCCTACTTCTACAACAACTCCCACTCCTCCGATTTCCACTTAAACAGCAAAAAAAAAAAAAAAAAAGGGAAAAACTTGCCCCGCGAAGTCATCGCCTTACTAATTGCCCATGAGTGAATTGAAATTGAAATGAAGTTTCAAATGAATTGCGATTTCGAATCGGAACGAACGAGGAAATCGGGTCGAGGTTTCCAGACGCCCAATAAACTGGATTCCAATGATAAGAGCATTTGACATATTTAAGGCGATAATTGTTTACATAACAAACTCAAAAGACCTTTAGTCATAAAGAGGTTCATATAGTCGGATATAACGCTGCTTATATTATAAATAATATTATAATAATATTTATATTATAAATAATAATTATAAATATTATACATTTGTAAGTGGATTGTAGAATAAATAAACGCAGTTCCTTTTGAAATTTATATGGGTTTATGCATATTTAAGTGTGTGCTTTTAAACTGGTACTCAGTTAATAAGGGGAATCAAGATAATGAGTAGAATTAACTAATAGCTCCAAATAACATGCTACTTAAGATATGAGCTCAAGTGGTCGATTATCAATTTGTTTTTGATAAATACAGGCAATTGATATGACAACATTCAATAAATCGATAGAGTAGAATAATAACCGCATTTATAAAATGAAACATTTCACATTGGAACTATTTCAAACTATTTCAACGGAAAGAAGCCAGCGGCAATAAGTTGAAATATTTCCTAGGAATAGGTTTTCCTACTCATTCGTCCATTCACCTCGTTACAAAAGTCCAATGAGAATTACGGCCGATTTCATATGTCCATCAAGCCAAAACAACTTTATTGACACACGGGCATAAATATCAATTTACGCCCATTTTTTTTTGTTGTTTTGTTTTTTCTTGTGCCCGATGATGGTTTTATTTCTCGAGCACCATCTGCTGTGTGCCAGTGTGCCTGAAGGGCCCGAACAGGGCCTGTCCAAGTGCCCGACGTGGTGGATCTGGGTGTGAGTCCCGGGGCTGGCCTGTCCATCATCATCGATTCCCGAGTACCGAGTACCGGGTAGCATGTTCCAAGTTCTGGGAGACCAGCGCGCCGAGTTCTTTGGGGCCAATCAGTCAGCGAGGCACTCAGCGGAGCGTGAATGCCAATTGCCGATATCCACACATTCAATTAATAAAATCAACAGCAGGTCCGATAGCTCCAGCTCCTTATCGCAATCCCCTGGACGACAGGACATGTCATTAGCCAGGCTGCACTTCAGTTCCAGCTCGATTATGGCCGGGAAAGGAGTGGAGAGCTGGTCGCGATTGCTGCTCCTCTGGCTCTATCGCGTTGCTCGTGGCTTGCTGGTGCTCTCCTCGAGCTTGGATCGGGACAAGCTGCAGCTAAAGGCGCCCAAGCAGGGTAGCAGAAATCGTTTCCTCAATGTCCTGTGGCGCTGCATTGTGGTTCTGACCTACGTGGGAGTGTGGCCAATGTTTACCTCCAGTGTAATTGGCAAACGCTTGGAGAGCTATGCGGATGTGTTTGCCTTGGCCCAGTCCATATCGCTGTTCATTTTGGCAGTCATATCCTTTGTAATCCAGGCGACGAGTGAGCATCGCTTCCGAGAGGTGCTAAACAGATACCTATTGCTCTACCAAAGGATATGCCTGACCACGCGACTGCGGCACCTGTTCCCAACGAAATTTGTGGTTTTCTTTTTGCTAAAGTTGTTCTTCACCCTGTGCGGCTGTTTCCACGAATTAATACCCCTGTTTGAAGCCACATACTTCGATGATATCGGTGAAAGGGTGGCCTTTGCTTTCAGCACCTACATGTGGCTTGGAACGCTCTGTGTGCTCGATGCCTGCTTCCTGGGATTTTTAATGTCCGGAATCCTGTACGAACACATGGCCGACAATATCACCGCCATGCTGAAGCGGATGGAACCCATAGAGTCGCAGGAGGAAGGATATCGCATGTCCAGGTATCGCAGGATGCAGCTTCTGTGCGATTTTGCAGATGAGCTGGACGAGTGCGCCGCCATCTACAGTGAACTGTACCAGGTCACCAACTCTTTTCGCTGTATTCTGCAATGGCAGATCCTTTTCTATGTCTACCTAAACTTTATAAACATTTGCCTAATGCTGTATCAATACATTCTGCACCTACTGAACGACGACGAAGTGGCCTTTTTGTCCATTGTCATGGCCTTTGTCAAGTTGGCCAATCTGGTACTGCTCATTATGTGTGCAGATTATACTGTAAGGCAGTCGGAAATGCCAAAGCACTTGCCTTTGGATATCGTTTGCAGCGATTTGGATGAGCGATGGGATAAGAGCGTGAGTTTGATATGGCTTGTCATTTACCAAAGAAATATTTTGTAATGCTAACTTTTTCAGGTCGAAACCTTTCTCTGTCAGCTGCAAACACAACGACTGGAGATCAAAGTGCTGGGATTTTTCCATCTCAATAATGAGTTTATCCTGCTCATTCTGTCTGCCATAATATCGTACCTCTTTATCCTTATTCAGTTTGGCATTACAGGTGGCTTTGAGGCATCTGAAGACATCAAAAATCGTTTCGACTAAAATACTTACACTTCTGTTTAACTTTGAGCGCGTATCTGTAATCTCTGTGCTATGTCTGGTTGGAAAATATAGATATGTAAAGTATTTTCTAAGTTTTCTCGACACCCACTCTGCATCCCACTATCCGCATCACCCTAGTTAACCCCAACCTCCAGCCACAGAAGTTCACCTGAACCATCCTGAGTTCATTATCGTTCATTACGTCCCATGCCACAAGAAATTCTGATACAATTTTCGGAGTGCCTGCGAGATGAGCTCGTTAAACGACTGACAAAAAAATTAAAGAAATGGGAATGAGCAACAAAAAATTGAAATTTCACGTCTGACTCGGTGTAATTATCGTAACTTCCCCAACTCTCGTACTCCCGCAACTCAAGTCTTGGGTCTATTACTCCCACTACACTGGCAGAAACCGAAACCATAACATGAAAACGTAGAAAATCTTAAGTTAGGAAATGCTTAGTTTGGGAATAAATATTTTAGCGAAATATTATATTATTGCAACATGTTTGAATTTGAGAATACATATTTTAGCGAAATATTATATTATTGCAACATGTATGAATTTGAGAGTAAATATTTTAGCGAAATATTACATTATTGCAAGATGTTTGAATTTGAGAATAAATATGAAATGCTTAGTTCGGGAATAAATATTTTAGCGAAATATTATATTATTGCAACATGTATGAATTTGAGAATAAATATTTTAGCGAAATATATTATTGCAAGATGTTTGAATTTGAGAGTAAATATTTTAGCGAAATATATTATTGCAAGATGTTTGAATTTGAGAAAAAATATTTTAGCGAAATATATTATTGCAACATGTATGAATTTGTGGTCTGGACTTATTGTTATTTTTAGGACTGACACGCCCCCCTCCACCCCATCTTAATTTCATCACTTGATCGTCATCGCAATCGTCTCGACCCAAGTCTTTGATTATTTTGGGCGTCAGCGGAGCGTAACGCGCTTGTCACGCCTATTATATATGCTCGCCACATGTACATATGTATATGAATATATGCGCGTGTATGTGTAGGTGCGGAGGGGTTATAGGGGAGGCATCTGAACCCGGGATTTCGATCCCAACTGACCCGTGAGTGCGACATGGTGGCGAAATGGAAACAAAGGCGAACCCAACGGCAGAAGTACGCGCCTTGGCCTGCAACTGAATTAATTTCCGAGCTCTCCGCTCCGCTGCACACGCCCTGGGTTTTTGTTGTTTTTTGGGGGGTGTGGGGGCAGGAGATACCACATGTATGTGTCGGCTTGGAGGAGGAGGGGATCTTTCAATCCCTGACACTGACGAGAGCACATTCAAATTTTCGCTCGTATTTTCGCGCGCACTTGGAGCCAGGGAACCGAACCTGGCCAAAAGCTTCTGGCCAAGCCATGCATATTTCCGGCCAGCGGAGCTGTGATCTGATCACCGGATCCACAAAAAGCCACTGGGGTGCCACAGAACACAGCCAGCCATTCCAGAAAAGTGAGCAGCAACGTTCCCGTTTCGCTGATTTCCTGCCGTTCGCAACATTTCAGGTATTTTGCAATGTAATTAGTTCGGAAGCTCCGCCACTGGCACTGCGATTCCGTCGAGAATAGTTATTGGAATGGTGCACCGACTGGCACTTTGGAGACCCAGCTGGGAGGCGCTGGGGGGCTGGAGCTGCGGCATTGTCGGGATGCCGCCGCCAGTTGAAAGATGCCGCCACCAATGAGTCGCGGTTGCATGTACCACCCAATTTACCCCCATTCCTGCCACCCATTTTGTTGTCTCTGAGCATTTGTACACATGTAACAAGCAATGCAGCCAGCACAGAGGCCAAGTGGGAACTAACCGATACCCATTAGATTCTCTGAAACTAACATGATTATACTTTAAACGGAGTTTATAGGCTTATATTATCACCAAAAACTAAACAATTAAGAACTAAGGTTACTCTACTAAGACTTGTCTAAATAAATACATATGTATATACTTCATTGTTTTACTTCAGAAGATTATATCAACATAGAGATCCCAGCAAGTAATAGGTATGCCATTAGCGTATGACATCCAGCATTCTACAGAATGATAGACGTCGGGGTGCCTGGGGCTCTTAACAAGTGGGCTTGTGCGCAAACACGGCGGCGGCAAACACTTTGACCTTTGTAGAATCCACAGAAGCCGCCGCAGAAGCCAAACGGCAGCTACGTCATGTTCCACATACTTTCACTTACGAATCGCTAGAAACAAAATAGAAACCACAAACGCAATCAACAAACGAAACGTGATCGTGAGTGGGGGGCAATAGAAAGAGATCGTGTGTCCATAAACGTGACATAAACAAAAAATAACAACTTCATTTGTGATAAATAATTTTTTGCCGCCCAAAAAAGAAACGTTGAAATGTTAAATGGGGAGATCGGCAAACAAGCGTTTGTGGAGCCACTTTTCCACCCAGAATGAGAACGGGAACGATAACGAGAACGAGAACGAGAACGATAAATTCTCTGATTGTGGGGCTGTTTTCACTGCGATCAACTACTTGCGATCAGAATGCATAGTAAATTAAGTGGGCGACAGATACGCGAACAGGGACAACAATGGCCGAAGAATACGATCGCGAAGAAAAAACATCTGTAGGTTGTGTTTGTATCTCGAGGATAGAGATATCGGCTGCTGAGTTGCGGGGGAGTGACCCCGACTGGCCCCGTACTACACTTCTGAGATCATACATACATACATACACTCGCGTCCACACACACACCAAAAACAGCAAATGGCAAATACCCGTTTTTGGCCTAAAAACCTACAAAGCTAACAAACAACAAGTTGCTCCAGCGCAGAGCATAAAGTTCTCCGAATTCGTGGATGCCCTACACAGAGACTTGGATGAACTTCAGATAAACCTAAAACTAAAAACTGGTCTGGCTAATTACAACAAGGTTAATTGCTTACACGAATTACAGTTCTTAGATCTTCACAGAAAAGTCAAGCAATGTTAAAACTTATCAATCCGTTTGTTATTTACAAATGTGCTTACATCTAATCTGTAGGCTTAAGGCACGATTATACTTTGAGCCACACTCGCGTGTTTATCTTTATACTACATCATCATTAGTTCCAAAAACAATTTGAATATTTCAAAGGGGGCCCCTTAATGAGGTCAAGAACCCGCTGGGGAATTGAATTTTCGCTATCTTATCTATCCGCCTGCATTAACCGCAGTTGCAAGCGTTGCGACACAGATCAAATAAATCGACCGCGATCGACCAGCACAAGGAGTAATCAAAATGATACCCTACACACGATCGGTGGCGTAGTCGAATCGCGGTATACGCGATACACTGCGTCATTTCTGATGGCTGAAAAAATGTTTTAGAGGGGCATGTTTTCAGCACGCACACATTCTGGCATCGCGTAATTTGTGTGTTCGATGAACCGAAATTCGAAATTCGAAATTCGTTGTGTGTCTGACCCACTTTCCCACAATTCACGCACTTTATGGCAAATGGAATCCACACACACAAAAGAGTTAGAAAGAGTTAGGCGCTAGAAAGAGAGGCAGATAGCATTCGGCAACAGAAAGAGACGCAGATAACTTGAGCATTTAATAATTGAGGTCGTATACAGTCGATCGTACAGGAATATTGATTTGTATGTTTTTACCACTGTTATTCTTTTTTCAGCACCTGTACAAAAGAAATACATGAAACCTCTTAATTTAAACAACAAATACATTCAATGGTAAGATATTTAACTTTTATAATGGCTTGCTGTTAATACTTTTTTGAAATATATGCGGAAACCGTGTATCATGTACAAAATTCCACAACTCCTGCTCTATTTGGTGGATCAGTTTGCTCAGTGTGCTTTCTCATTCTTTGTCGTTGTTTAGTGCTTTTCAAGCTTCGTGTTTCTCATATTCTTTCGTGTAATTTACGCAACATTCGCTCGTTTGTCGTTGTCTCTCGGCTACTTGTCTTTGCATTGAGTCGAGAGCAGCAACACAGCAGCAACAACGCAGCAGCAGCACGAGATCAACAACATCTGCAACAGCGCTGCCGGCTGGCAGTTGTTGAACTTTTTTTAGCTTTTTTCTTTTTGCAGCTCCCAAATCTGAAATCACAAACCAGTTTTGAGAGCTGGGCTTGCCACACGTCAAAAAGTTGGCCAAAGCCAAACGAAAACTTGACGTACATCCCCCCTCTCTGCTCACTCTGCCCCCATGTGCTGTAGATGTTGCTGCTGTGATGTTGCTGCTGCTGCTGCTGCTGCCGCTGTTGTTGTTGATCTTTGTGGACTGTACTTTTTGTTGTTCGTGTTTGGAAGGCTTAAAAGTAAGTTGCTGCGCGCAGGGGGGGCAGGTAGTGTTGATTGAAATCGATCTGTGTTGCAGGGCAGCATGCAGCATGCAGCATGCAGCATGCAGCATGCAGCATGCAACATGCAATGTGCAACGCGCAACATGCAGCATTAGCCGCTTGGTCCAGCCAGCCAGCGACGATTTGACCTTGCTGCAGTGCAACGGCAGCAATCTGTTGCAGCTGCGGCTATCTATAATTTGGCTGGGCTTTAAACTGATCTGCTGGCCGTGTAATTAATCGCCCAGCCCCCGCCCCCCTTTCGGCTAACCCTCCCCCTGGCCTGCGGCGGCTGCCCCTTTCTGTGCCACGCCCAGTGCTTGTCGTTTTGGAAAACGAGCGCATAAATGACGCTTTCCTGTGTACTTAAGGTGTCTAAACTTGACTACCGTGTGGAGCGCTCCCTGTCCCCTCACACCTGCGTCTATACCAACATGTGTGTATATCCGTGCCGAAACACAGAACCATTCCCATTCCAAAAAGTCCAAATCATCCGCAACCTTGCCCAAGACAACAACTCCTCTGCTGCTGCTGCTGCTGCTGCTGCTGCTGCTGCTGCTGTCGATGACCATTATTTTAGCTGACGGCGATATATTTGCTCAGCTTCAGCTCGCACGGGCGCAGTGGCACTGGGCAACTCGCATCCTACACTGGGAGAAATCTCGCGCGCGTATCGTTCAACTGTTATGTAGCCAAATGGGCAGCTTTCGCAGCTCTCAGTGTTTTAACTC